ACTTTGCAATACACAAAATTTCCACAGTCGCTTTAACTTAACACACACGCTATAATTCACAACGATTCACGCACTTTACTTACGGTTACTATCGCTCGCTTGGCTAAATTATCTGTCTCTATACCTATCTATTTGCAATTATTTGCCGAGTTTATATGCTAAAATAGAGGGCGCCTGGAAAAGACTAGAGTTGCCAGGAGCAGTCATGATCCTTCTAGAAACTCCTGCCGCATGCTTCCAGCGTCGCGTGACTTCCGCTGTCGTAACATTGCCCCTTTCTTAGTATTGTTCGTCCCGAACTATAGCCACCTATATTAAACCAATAGATAATTGACAATGACATAATTAAAGGTACAGAATTTACAAACACAAAATTAAAATTCGACAAAGTCTCTTACTTTTACGGGACATAGCTTCTTCCGTACTGGTCTCCATCTCGTTCGCTTCTGCTTCACATGGGGTTCATCTGCTCCATCAGGAAATGTCCTATTATCGGTAACAGTAACATCAGTGGTAGTAACTACATTAAGGGCTTCACTGTTTCCCTTCTCAAAACCGGGTAGATTTTCTTCTTCAACAGTGGCTTTTTCAGGTGACACCTCTTCAGCAGCATCATTTGTTCCATTGCTCACTTTGTTCCAACTGAAATGTCCTGGACTGTGATAACGCCAAAGCCTGTTGGCATGCACCACTTTTGGCTTACCTCGCCGACCACATTTTATCTGGAAAGTCACGTCTGAGAGATGATCCACTATGTCATATGGGCCTTCCCATGGAGAAGACAACTTAGGAGACTTCCCTTTGGTCTTCCTGGGATTATACAACCATATCTTGTCTCCTGGTACAAAGCTGACTTCAGTAGATCTCTTATCATAACATAGCTTCATGGAATCAGCAGATGTTTTCAAGTTTGAACGCACTTGACGGAGAATATCATCCATCTTTTATGTTAAAACTTTCACGAACTCTGATACATTTTCAGGCAATTCTTCGTAAGGTGGGCGTACACTGGCAACCGAAGTTCCCGACCACACATCAACTTTGCTGGAGTGTATCCAGTGGCTTCATGCTCTGCTTTTTATAAGCCATCAACAGTGGAGGGAGTAAGACATCCCAGTCATCTTGGCGGCTGTTACAAAACTTTGCCAATTCCTGTCCCAGTGTCCAGTTGTACTTTTCTACCATCCCATCAGACTGTGTGTTCTGGTCTTTCGTATGCCAAACAACTTGCAGCATTCATGGAACACAGCTGATTCAAAGTTACGGACTTGATCCGAATGCAGTTCGTAAGGCATACCAAATCTGAAGAAGAAATCACTAATAGCCGAAGCTACAGTTGTATCTTCCTGATTTGGTATTGCATATGCCTCAGGCCACTTGGTGAAATAATCCATCACCACATAAACGTACTTGTTTCCAGCCCGAGTTTGAAGCAGCGAACCAGCAATGTCAACAGCTACTCTTTCCATTGATGCGCCAACTTGATATAACTTCATTGGAGCACGCCCCTTATGCTTGGATCCCCTTTTAGCACAACATGTACTGCAGGTTCTGCACCATTCTTCCACATCTTGCCTCATACCTATCCAGTAAAATCTCTGCCATAGGTGACTCAATGTCTTCTTAACTCCACAATGTCCTCTTGTTAAACTATCATGGGATTAACGCAGCACAACTTCCCGTAACTTTCTCGGTATAACTGTTTGCCAGGTCGTCACTTTCCCATCTGCAGTCTCCCATCTCCGGACAAGATTACCATCTTCAAGCTTCAACTTGCCCCATTATGCCCAATAGTTCTTTGTCACAGGCCTTAAGCTAGTCACTTTCTCCCAAGCAGGGCACGAAACACTTGCTTTTAGAAAATTAATTATTGGCTTCAAATCTTGATCTTTCTCCTGTTCTGCTTCACCTGGTTAGTTCAACCTCTCTTTTGCAGCAATGTCTGCAGTCATTTTTGCAGGGTCTT